TTACCTCATTCAGACTAATGTGAAAGAAAAAGAGAAAACTGAGGATTTGCTTTAAAGCCACATCATAGGGCACCTGGGTGGCTCAGTCGGTTAAGCGTCTGCCTTCGGCTCAGGTCATGATCCCAGGGTCCTGGGATCGAGTCCCGAATCGGACTCCTTGCTCAGCAGGGAGCCTGCTTCTCCCTCTGCCTGCCACTCCCCCTGCTTGTGCTCTCTCCCTTCCTCTCTCTCTCTGCCAAAGAAATAAATAATACCTTTTTAAAAAAAATAAAATAAAACTACATCATAACAGGCCATCATGGCCAATGGTGGGAGGATGGGTTGTTATTAGTAAAGGCTCATCAGAAACTCTCTTCCCCAACCATTTAAACGGAATGGTCTACGCCCACTCCATATTTTGCTTCTCAGAAACACACGTTAGAACATCGGATTTATTTACTTACTTGTTCTGAGACAAACAAAAGCTGTAACATACTATCCTGGATATCTCCCTGTCCGGACACGCCTAAGTAACTCAAAAATAAGCTTTGAAGTCAAATAGATTTGATTCCCATTTTAGCTCTGTCATGTTGTTATTGTGTGACACAGACCCGCAACAGCATGAAGACCACAAGTTGTAAGGATTAAATGGAAGCATTTATGTAAAAGGACTTGGCACACTGCAGAGACACTCCGCTGAATGTCTGTTATCTTCTCACTGCATTCAACTCAAATTTTCAAATCATCACAAAAGTAGATCGATCATGATGAATTAGAATATGAGTGACTTCCATTCACTCAGTAGTTACAAATTCTGTATTAGGCCCTATGATACTAAATTTCAGATTCACATGCACAAAAATCTCCTCAGAGTGAAAGGAAATTTGGAAGCTTATCAAAGGATGTACTTGGTGGTTCTGAAGAACAAAGAACATTCTTGATATTAAATTGAGCTCCATGATTTCATATTCTCAGGTTATAGCTGCATTCCCATTAACCTCGTTCCTTTTTTGCACACAGCTACTCTTTTTAGAAGTTACTTTTTCACGAATCACTGCCAATCATATCGGAGTTATTGTGAAGTAAGGGATCTTTTCTTTCAAAAATCCACATTCGAATCCTAACATGGGGCCCTACAAAGAACTAGGAAAGCTCCTGAGGTGGCCGCGTCTCCGGGAAAACTGCCTGGAAGCTGCCTGCAAGCAAGCTCCGAGGCCTGCCCATCCCGGGCAGCTAATCCTGACCTGGGGTGGGGGCGCGCTTCTGGTCCTGACCTGGCGGGTTCACCGAAGAACTGGCTGAAAAGCTGTAGGAATTCAGTGTCCACATCCCTACATGTAATGTCTGGGTATCAATGAGTCACTAAATCGGCTTTCTGCCCTCTCTCCTTTTGCATTGTAATATCACAGTATTTTGAGTTTGTGTGCATGCAACATCTCAGCAAAATGTAAAGATTCACAGGAAAAATGGAAACTATGTATACATACATACATATATATATGTATATGTATATATACATATATATATAGGAAAAGGTGTTATAGCCTTTTCTTTTTATATGTAAACGATGCCCTACCTCTTTATTAAATAACCTAAACAACCTAAAACTGCCTGTCACAAACATACCAATGTTACAGTTAAAGGAAATTGTGTGGGGACAGGTAAATTTCTGTTATTTTTGTCTGCAAACAATTCACAGCAACATCTAATTGAGGCACTACACTCAACATTTAAAACATTTCTAAGAGCACATGAAAAATGTCACAATGTGGTCAGAGTTTCTGGGTTCTCTTTCACTGAAAGCGAATCCTGGGGAGTCAGAGCGACTGCTGAGTTGTGACGGCTGCTGGGAATCCACTGGGTTGTTGATCCCGCAGATGCATTCAAAACACATACAGAAGCAAATCACCAGGACAATAAGGAACCCGCATGTGCCTTCCCATTGGGAGAAAAGTTTGTTTTTTCCCAATAAATCTAAGGATAATGTTAAGAAGAGGCTCTGGATAGTGTAAATGCTTTGCTGAGCTAACCCCCTAATTTTTTTTAAATGATATAATTTCAGAAGAATACAGTGGCTCTTCAAAGACAAACCTCGTGGAAGTGGTTGCTAGAAGCAAGAATGATGAGAGTGAGAGGAGAGAGCAATCTATAAACTCTGCTTACGCTCTGCTCTTCCTCCTCCTAAAGCCGGCCTTTGTAAATGACCCCTGTG